CCTTTCACAGCGTGCTGATCGCGGCGCCGCCGATCCACGCGGTCCGCGCGTTCGCGACGGCGTGCACGTCGGCCATGGCGTTGGCGCCGACGATGCGCTGCTACTGCGTCCCCGGCCCCGCGGACCCCTGGGAGGCCGTCGTGACGCACTCGCAGGGGAAGGTCCGCGACTCGCGCGTCGCGCTGCTCGACGGCGAGCTCGACCGCGTGTCGGCCTACACGAAGAAGGGCGACATCGCCAAGGCCGCGGACATCCTGGCCTACCTGGCGAAGCGCGACAAGGCCGCGCGGGCCGACGCGGCCGCGGCGGCCAAGGCGCCGCAAAAGCCCGCGCCGCCGAAGACGAGGGACCGCGTCCTCTCGCCCCGGCCGGCGAGCACGGAGCGCACGCTGACGCCGAGGACCAAGTAGATTTTTAAGTTACGCCCCGCCGCCGAGCACGCGGTAGAACGCGGACAGCGCCGCGGACTCGTCGAGGACGGCGCGCGCGACGGCGCGCCGCGACGCGAATACGGAGGCGTCGACGACCGCGCCCTCCACCGCGCGCGCGGCGTCGGCAAAGTCCGCGGCGCCGACGGCGATGGCGCCCCGGGGCACGGCGAGCCCCGCGAGGGACGCGACGTCGTCCGCGAGCGCGGACCCGTCGACGACCGCGGAGCCGCAGGCCCGGAGCGCCGCGGCGGCGGCGGATTTGACGGCCGCGGCCGTCGGGCCCGGCGCGGCGTCCATGAGCGCGGGCAGGCACGCGCGCCGCAGCGCCGGCGACGTTTCGGCGGCGCGGCGCAGGCACGCGTGCGTCGCGACGGCCGCGTCGCGCAGCGCCGCGTGGAACGCGCCGCGCCACGTCAGCGCCGGGTCGAGGTCCACGCCGACGGTCACGTGGGCTGAGTCCGAGCCCGCGTCCTCGCAGGCCGTCGCGGCGTGGTAGACGCCCCGCGGGACGTACAAAACGTCGCCCGGCGCGAGCGCGACCGCGTGGTCCGCGCCGCGCCGCAGCAGCTCCGGCGGCGGCGGCAACGTCGCCTCGTGGAGCGTCGGGCACTCGAGGGCCGGGCCGTAGAGGCGCCAGCGCTTGCGGCCCCGGAGCTGGACGACGAAGACGCAGTGGTCGTCGTAGTGCGCGTCGAGCGCCTGCGCGCCCGGCGGCGTCGCGTACAGGTTCACGGAGCAGCCGACGCGCAGGACGCGCTGCACGGCGCGCCGCGCCTCGGCCGCGCAGCGGAAGCGCGCGTCGGCGCCGAGGACGACGACGCTCGCGGCGGCGCCGCCGCCGAGGCCCGCGCCGTCGCGCGCGCACGACGCGCGGACGTAGTCGGCGCCCTCGGCGACCGGCGCCGGCCGTCGGAGCACGTCGAAGGCGCAGTCGCAGGCGTCGCGGCCCGGGTCCGCGTCGCGCACGGTCGCGAGCGACGGGCCCGGCGGCGCGGCCGCGGCCGCGAGCGTCGGGCCGAGGGCCCCCGCGGGCGGCGGGCGCGGCGCGGTCGGGCGGCGCGCGCCGGCGCCGCCGTCGAAGCACGGGAGGGTCGCCGCGCTCCCGGCCGCGGCGACGACGCGCGCGTTCCGCTCCCAGTCGCGCCGCCAGAACGACGCGTCGCCGACGAGCTCCGCGACGCGCGCGGCGACGTAGGCCTCGGTCGCCGCGGCGTCGCGCTCGAGGCCGTCCACCGTCGCGAAGAGCGCCGCCAGTCGCCGCGCGGGCTCGCGCGGCGACG